GAGGGGGCTACTGGGGAAACAGTCCCCACAGGAATTTTAAGCCACTTTCGGCAGATGATGAAGCTGACCCATGTTACACTGTGATGGAACACGTTTGAACAAAGGGAACGCGTATAAGCTCATACACGAGGAAAAGGGGACTTCCTCTGGCACCATCTTACCTTGGAGCCAGTCTCGGAAATAGTGCAGCCACATTTTGGGAAGCTGTTTGTTTTCTTCCAACATGACATACTTCACGTTACTGAAACTCTTGTGAAGGTCATAGAGTAAGTGCTGGATATTTGGGTAGTCTGCTTTCTGGGTGACTATGTACATGTTATAGAAAGAGAAGTATTTGAACTGTGCAGCAATAAAGTCATACTCTCTGGTTTCCCGAGGTACGATGTCGGTAAGGTCCAGCCCGTCTCTCACCCGGGTGGTCCCAAAAAGGCTGACCCCCAACAAGCCCAAGAAGAGGAAGATCACCACGACCTGCAAGAGAGTAAGAGGTGTACGGTCAGGCCCGAAGGAATACCCTGGGTCTTCCCTGACGAAGATAAGCTGTTCAGTTTATACCTTGCTTAACCACTACACTGGTCCTGACTGAGCATACGGGAAAAGGGGGAAATCATCGTGAGTACATTTTAAAACAGCCTCATGAAGAATAAAAGGGCTGAATATGTAAGGAATTATTTCAAATTCATAGAGACCTTGTTACATAGAGATTTGCACCTAAAGAAGATGAGCTCAATACAATGTCCCCAACTCTAAAGAGACTGACTCTTTCAGAGGCATAAAATAGATCATATCTCCACCATTATTTTTAACAGAAGAACAGAAGCATCTGATGAATTCCAAAGGCTGTTCTGTAATTTTTTTCCTTTTTCTTAGGAAAAAAATTTACTTTTTCATGAGGGCACAGGGGAAGAGGGAGAGAGATACCTCCAACAGAGTCTTCACTCCCATCTACCACCAGCCTCAGGCAGCCTGGATCATGGGCACACCTGTGACTGCAGTGAACAGGGAGGACTTGAGCTATGAACCTGGTTCGTTCCCACCCAGGTCCAGCATCACACAGTTTTATATTATTGCTGTGCCACTAGCTAGTCCTGTTTTTTTGTTTGTTTTGATGTGTTTAATTGCCATAGGGTGTGTGTCCTTGACTGAGAGATGGAGACAGAGAGACAAAGAAGAAGGGTGAGAAAGTCCCCTCCAATGGAGTGTGGTCTTGCCACAATCTCTTCTCCATCCTGTCAGGATTTGTAGCATACACACACACACACACACACACACACACACACACACACACACACATGCCCAGTGTGTTTTTCAAACTGCCAGGACCAGGCTTCAAATGGTGACCAGCCATGTGGGATCCCTTCAGCACTAATCTATGGGGCCAGCCCAGTTCTGTTCATTTTTTTTTTTTTTGGAGAGGTTTTTGCTATAGGGCATGTGTGCTCGTCAGAAAGACAGAGAGACAGAGAGATAGAAAGCAAGAAATCATCCCCCAGGGAGGATGGCCACGCCACAATCCTTCTTCTCCAGTCTCCTCTTGGGATCTTGGTCACACACGCACACGCGCCCGGCGTGAGTTTAAGCCCCCAGGTTTGGGACTTGAACCGTGGTTGACTACATGGGAATTCAGTGACACAGCCATTATGCTAACTGCTGGTCCCAGTTCTGTTCATTTTTGAAGACAGGAAGTCCTGTGTTGTGGCAGATTACCTTGGCTTTTGGTTTTAAGAGGAAAGGCGCATAGTGCTTCTCAGCAAAAGAGGAAAGTGTCCACTTGGTACAGGGGGGCTCGAGGCAGTGGAGGCTGGAGTCGGAGAACTGGGAGAGCAGGTCCCTGGTGGAGCTTGTGCTCTCGGGGCTCTGGCAGCTGAGGGTGTCCTGGGTCACGGTGACAGGCTGCACGGAGATCTCGGAGCGTGGCTCGGCTGTGGTGTAGTACACGTGGGTGTGGGGGTCGTACTCCGTGCGCAGCTGGACAGTGGACTGCATGGTGATCTGCGTTTCATGGGCAAAACTGTGGCTGCTGTAGGGGGGGGGGGGGCTGTAGCGGGTATTGTCGTGTGTCTCCGTGTAGGCCTGTGGCTCCACCTGGATCACTCTGCTGACACAGGGGCTGAAAGAGGGGCAGACACGTCAGCAGGCCGTGTTCATGCCTGCCGGCATTTCACACAGCTCTGACTTCGGAGGGAAACGCCCTATCACTGATCACTGTGCACGTCGCCTGGTGCATCTGGACACAGACAGGAGTAAATTCAAGGAGGCCAAGTGGACGGGTGATCTGAAATCTGGCTTACAAAAGCAAGTTATGTAAGGATAAGCCCCTTCTCAAAGTATAATTACAACTAAAACAAAGAAACCCCAACAAACAAAAAACAGAAACTTAGACCTTACCCAAAAGACTATACTCTTTCTCTGTGGGTGGTTTGCAACCTTGTTCTGCTCTTATCCAGAGATAGGAAACACCGCCAATAATTGGCAATGAGTTGATGTTGGAAAAAATGACGATCAGCACCCAAAGGGTTGTGAGACTGCGCCGTTGGTTGTGGGAGAGGGAACTCAGACATCCTGTTATGGCTGTCTGTCCCACATCTCCCTGACCAACGTCACTGACAAGCTCCGCTGACTGTGTTCCCATCTAAGCCCACAGAGTCTCTAAACGGTACCATTCTGGACCCATCCAAGAAAGGCCACAGCAGCCGGAAACGTACCTCGTAAAACAGCAGAAGATATCCAGTCTCCTATCCTCACGTCGGTATAAATCCATGCTGAGAATTGCAGGAAAAATGAGCAGAACCATGGCAAAATTGAACACCACTACTACTGCTGCCTGTGAACAGGGGAAAAACAACAAACACAGAGGTCATCAGTACGCCGCCTGCCAGAGGACTGCTTTGAAAATAAACATGCTTTAAGATAGTTTTTTCTATTTCATTTTTTAAACATCTCTTAAATTTGAGACTACCAGGGGGCACAGAGGCTAAGGTGGCTGAATCCCATTGGGCCGACTATGTGGTTTGCGTCCTGGACCTGGCAGGTTGAAGAATACAGCCGGGCATGTGTGCCTCCTCCTGAGAGGAGAAGGGATTGTGGCATGGTCATCCTCGCCCCTGGGATTTCTCAGTTCTCCTGCACCCCAGACCCTCTCTAGTAAGCATATGCACCCTCTAGCAAAAACTAAAAACAAAACAAAACAAACTTAAATTCACTTCTTATTCATGATAGAAAGCATGTGCACACACATGTGAGAGAGATAAAGAGAGGACAGAGAGATTTCCTCATGCCATGATCCCCTACCCCCGCACCCCCGCACTCATTAGAATCTCGAATGCCTGCATACACCCAGAGTGTTTTTTTTTTTTTTTTTTGGAGAGATTTTCACTGTAGGGCGCGTGCGCTCGCCAGACAGACAGAGAGAGACATAGAGACAGAAAGCGAGAAATCACCCCCCAGGGGGGATGGTCACGCCGCAATCCCTTCTCCTCCATTCTCCTCTCGGGATCTTGGACACGCACGCACACGCGCCCGGCGTGAGTTTTAAGCCACCGGGTCCGGGACACGAACCGTGGTCGACTACGTGGGAGTCCAGCGACATAGCCATTACGCTAACTGCTGGTTCCCCACCTCGAGTGTTTTAAGGTCAGCTGGGCCAGGGATCCGAACCAGCTGTTGACTATGCCACATCCAGCACCATAGCCAGTAAGCTACCAGCTGTGCCCCCTAGGCTGGGGCCTATGTAGGTATTTAAAGCTGAGATGAATGCTCGAGTTTCTCTTCACTTGGTCACTCTTCCATCATTTACAGACTATCCTGTCTTGCTAATTCCACGATCCTATAAGGAACAAACCTACAAACTCGACTCCAAATGTCTTACTAGGCACCAAACTAAATCTGCAAAGGTGGAACACAGAATATGCAGGGACCTCCAAACACTTGTGGAACGATGGAACGGAAGGACGAATTTATTTGGGTACTAAAAAAGCCTTCGAACTTTCCAAAGACCCCCAGTACTTGAGATGTTTTAATTTAAAACAAAAAGAAACGTTTCCTTCCCAGAACACTGCTAAGAATTCACACAGCCAGCCCTGATTTTACACTGCAAACTTTGTGTATAAAGTGGATCGAGTATATCAAAATGTCACCTTTAAAACATGAAATAAAATTTCACACATGTCCCCTGAGGTTTTTAATAGGCACATTCCAAACAGCCTCTGGAGTAGCCGGTGGGGTGTGCGAGCGAGTAACATAAAAGGTCAGGAGAGTTAAGCAGAGAGAAATTCCTGTGTGTGATTATAGCAGGCAGAATAAATAAGTACAGATTCAAAAGTCACTTCGTCACCTCGAGTCGGCGCAGGGCTAGATGCTGCCGTGCTCCGGCAGATCTCCTGCTGATCTAGTAAAAATTACAAAATTGGGCTGTTAATGGGGAAAAGTCAACAGGACAGCGAAAGGGTGATCCGTTCAGAAAAGCATGGCAGGAAGACGCACCCTGGAAATGAGCGACTGCAATACACAGGCGCCACGATGCGACTGCACCACGTTTTGAAAATTAATAAACTCTTACAAGGTTCTCCCAAGAACTGCTTAGTTCAGAAACCTCCTCAAGCTGAGTAAACGTCTCAGGGCAAGACGAGAAACTGGCTATAACTGGGGCCCAACACAATCAGCGAAGAACTTGACAAAGGGCTTTTGAGTATAATTGTGAATTTATGCTCCAGGTGAAATAGCAAGCTGGAGTTCTGGAGAGGTGCCTTTCAATAATTAATTCCCTGTCAAGTCTATGAAGCAACAAAACAACCAAGACTCTCCATGTAAACATTCCTTAACCCCTTTCTATAAGTCCATCTTGAAGATTTCTCATCAGTTCACACATGTTCAGCTTGGTGCCTTACTATAATGTATACGAGGTAGGATTTTTAGAGAAAATATATTCCTTCTACAAAGTAGAGTGAGACGGAGATAGAAACAGCACTCCCAACTGGGTCTTCACACCATAAGCCATGCCCAGCCTCAGCCAGCCCCAGATGGCGGCACCCAGGGGGCTGCTGTACTGAGAGAGGTCTCCAGACATGAACCGAACCTTTCCATGTTGGTCGGTCTTGTGGAGCACACACTTTAACAACACACCGCCATCCAGCCTGTGACACATACTTCAACAACACACCACCATCCAGCCTGTGACAGATAGTCCCACATGAATACGCACATACATAAATTCTTTAACAGATGTTAAAAAAAAAATCAGTATTGGATGCTAGAGATATGAAAAGAAGTAAGACCAAATTCTGTCTCCAGGACTGACACAGCCTAGCCTATAAATAAATGGTAATTGAGGCTGATAAACGTGTTAATAACAATAAAAGCAGGTGCCAGGTTCCGGAGTAGCTCCGAGGGAGAAGGCATGGGTGTTGGGTGGAGAGGGTGACCGTCGAAGGATGGTCTCCTGGGCCCCAGGGGGTGGTGTGGTGATTAAAGTGCTGGACGCCCACATGGTTGACCATGGTTCAAATCCCAAACCCAGCGGCTTACTTTCTCACTTTCTCCTGCTTTGTCTCTGTCAAAAATCTCTCTCCCTCTAAAAGCCTAAGTAAATGAGAAAAACAAAACAAAACAAGAGATAATCTTGTATTTTTTCTCCTTTTTCTTCTAACTGCCAGAGGGTGCATGCACCTATCAGAGAGATAAGAGACAGTGGGAGAAATAACCCTTAATGGGATATGGTCACACTGCCCTCTCTTCTCCATTCTTCCATCCTATCAGGATTTGAAACACAGGTGCATACAAATCCCAGCGTGCTTTTCAAGCACCAGGTTGGGATTTGAACTGCAGTCAGTCATGTGGGATACAGCTCCCTTAACTACTAGGTTACAGTGCTAGCCCAGTCTTGCACTCTGAATCAATTCTAGTTATACTGTATTAAAAGGAAATGTCCTGGGACCAGCAGTTAGCATAATGGCTATGTCTCTGGACTCACATGAAGTCAACCGCGGTTTGCGTCCCGGACCCGGTGGCTTAAAACTCACGCCGAGCGCGTGTGCGTGCGTGCCCAAGATCCCCAGAGGATAATGGAGGAGAAGGGATTGCGGCGTGGCCATCCCCCCTGGGGGGTGATTTCTCACTTTCTGTCTCTCTGTCTCTCTCTGTCTATCTGGTGAGCACACGCACCCTATAGCAAAAACCTCTCCAAAAAAAAAAAAAAAAGACGAAATGTCCCATTCACGCAAAGCTCCCGTGGTGGCCCTGCTAAGGCACCTGCAGAGAAGGCCTTTATCTCTCTCTGGCCAGTATCACATACCCTTTGGCAATTTTTTTTTAAAAAAACAGCGAATTCTTTGGGAAAAATATTTATTTATGAATTGAATTTACTTTTTAAAATCTATTTATTTCAGTCAGGCTACAAAATTAGAAAAGTCCCACAGGGAAACAAAAAGTCTGAAGACAACATGAGTTTATTATTGGACAGAACCACTTTGGGTCTCTCTTCCTGTTGATGCTTCATCAGTAGCAACTTGCAAATATAAATGCAAACGGAAACCTGAAGTCCCAACTTCACACAGTTCACGAGAGACGACAAAGTGGTCAGTTTTGAAAGCCAATACATTTAAAAGCCACTGCAAAATTCACTCTTCATTCTCTCCCTTTTCTCTTACATTGTCTTTCCTTCTTTAAAAGCTATTCTTTAATAAATGAGGATTCTTGGAAGTGGTAGCTGTGATATTTCCAAGTGATACTCCAGTGTCTTGGAACAGCAACAACACCTTGTCTCTGAGGGGCTTACCTTGGGAGCACTTAGTACTGGATTTTCTATAAGGCTACTACTCCTCATAAGGCCAACGCACGTAGCTTTTCAGACCACCACACCATAGGATAGCATGAAAGGAGAATCTGCCTTGATGAATCATCAGTATGTACTGAGAGAGAGACAATGAGAGAGGAGAAAGAAGAGAAGAAGAAGCATGAGCTGATAGAAGACACTTGAGGGAAAAGGCAGGTGGAAAAGAAGGGGAATAGAAGAGAGTGAGGAGAGGGCCTTTCAGCTTTTGAGACTCCAGAACAATTTCTCATGACTGGAGTTTGCTATACATGAAACAAGAACAGGATCCATTCAAAACAGGGTTGAGCAGGTACATGCTGGTGCAAAGACGCACTAACATTTAATAGCTGTACCCAAAGTTAAGTGAGCATCATGTCCTTCCTAATTCTCACTAAACAATTAGCTATATTCTCAGTGTCCTTATGCTTTGGTCTCAATTTCAGATATAGCTTTTATTCACTGACTCAGTCACTGTTTCCATAAAGATTTATATATAAAAATAAACTCTCTTTTCAATACTTTTCCTCAAAGGTTAAGGGTTATGGTGCCTGGAATAAAATATTTTTTTAAACATAGTATCTTATGCTGAACATTAAAAACCCCTGTCATCAAACACAATAAGGTCACTCACTGCTCAGGACTCTATGGGTAGTTAGTCGAACAAAACTTTAAAAATACATTAAGCATTGGTTGTTCTCCTAACATAACTGAAATTAAGAAACAGCTCGATATGCTGACAAAAGTAGAACCAGAAACCTAATTCATGACTTAATCAATTTCGTTGCCTGGTCACAATTCCCATCACCTTTTGGTGAATAAAGAGAGTAAAGCAGTATGAACAAATGAGATATCAGAACAGATTTAAATAAGTGACACCAAAGGACCAGCAGGAGGCGTGGTGGATAAGGTGCTAGACTCTCACATGGCCAAACATGGTTTGAGTCTAAGACCTGCTGGCTTGAAATACATGCTGAGCATGTGTGTGTGCACGTCCAAAATCCCAGAAGAATGGAGGAGAAGGGACTATTTATGGCGTGGCCATCCTCCCTAGGGGGTGATTTCTCAGCTCCCCCAATCCTGTATCTCTCTGGCAAGTGCATACACCCTGGCCATGTCAAGAACGAATTATCACGGGGCTGGTAAGTGGCGTGGTGGCGAAGGGCACTGGACTCACACATGGCCAGCTGCGGTTCGAGTTCCAACCCTGGCGGCTTGCTTTCTCACTTTCTCTCACTGTGTCCCTCCCTGGTCAAATTAAAATAAATAAATAAATAAATAAACAAACGGATAAAGTTAAATAATTCTTAAAAAATATTTTTTTAAAAACAATTAGTCATTCAATTATAGAAATAGAAAGGGGGATACCAATCTTCCTTTGATTTTTCTTTGAAAAGAGTTGAAGCTTTATAAGTTGAAATTATTAGGTTGTCAGGAAAGTCACGACATACTTCTCTGTTTTTCTATGGAAACACGTGTCATGACTTTCCCAACAACCCAATAATTTGCAAAACTTCAATGGCATCTCGAGATCACTGAGGGCTTAGAAATGTCATAGACAGGTGGGCGTCATCCTCTGTGTGGGCCACTTTCAAGATTTCTGAGTTCCAAGTAGCCTGAAGATTGTCAGTGATTCTCTCCCAGCACAGTACGAGCTTTGCTGTGCACCCACTCGTGGGCGCTCTCCACGCTTACAAGTCACGTAAGCGGTGCATGGTTTTAGAAAATCACCGTGGTGGGTCAGAGAGGCCTGGTGTGTAAAGAGAGGGTTGAATAATGACGAGGCCAACATGTTCTACCTAAGGAAGGGGGAGGAATTTTACATTTGCATGAGGAGATGAGAAGGGAGCAGGGACCAAGAGAAAGCAAACAGGACATGGGAGAGATGGTGGGCAGCCGGGGTCCCCAGAGGAACGCTCCCTGCAGGAAATCCTCCAAGGGGGAGAAGCTGTCGTGTGCCACGCTGTGAGACCTGACCTTCAATGTTAAGTCACTGCCCAGCCTGGGCTACCCACAGCCTCGTCTTCACACAGCAATGACGTCTGTTCTGCACAACTGCCCAGGGCTGGGGCCGCATGGGTCTGGGCTGATGTGGCCCCCACGCAAGGAACATAATCACAGACACTCTGAGAGTTCAGAAGAAGGGGACAGCCGAGAAGCTGGCTGCCGCACGGGTGAACCCAGAAGACATAGCGGGGCCCCCAGTACTGTTTCACTGTAACGGTAAGGAGAGGGTAACTCTGTAGGGCTTGGGAGGAAGGGTAGCACTCTTTTTTGGAGGGTTGTCAGGATCATAGCTGAAGAAATGTCCCCCCACTGGGCAGAGCCCTGACGCAGCTGTGCTCCTTTGGCTCATGGATGTGGTAAGGTATGTGTGTCATGGGGAAAAAACAGACCTGGGATGCTGCCTGCCAGTGCATTGCTCACACTCGATTCCATCACTGGAAACTCACCTGGAGGGAGAAGGCCCGCAGAGCAGGAATTGGGATGAGCGCTGCCATGAAGAAGGCCGTGACGTTGCTGATGGACGTGAGGGCCACGCTGGCTCCAGTACGCTTGAGGCACTCCCCAGTCCTGTCCTGAGGGAGGAAAACCACAGCACTAAGCGGGTGGGCCCTGCGGACCACAGACCGTGTAACTCAGATACACGGCAAGAGAACACAGGAGGACTGTGATGGACAGCACTGGCATGGGGGGCAAGAAAGAGCCATCGTCGCCTCGTCCTGAACACAGCACTGGTCCTATCTACATCACCCCCGTGTTTCTCGTGGTCGCTACCATCCAAAACAGCAAGCTGCAAGGTAACGATCTCAGTACAATTTCAGCGTTATTTAAAAAGGGGGTGTGGGTGGTGGCCAAGTGACAGAAAACACCAGAGACCCAAATGTCGGCTGTGGAAAAGGCCTGGCAATTGGGTGTGAAGTGCCCCACTAAATCGAACGGCCATGTTTATAAAGGCACCCCAAATTCAACTCTTGGGACTTCCTGCAGCCAATACATGTCCTGAGAGTCTTCCAATTGACTTTATTTATTTAGAGTCAGTAAAATGTCATCAGACGTGGGAATGAAAATTTACTGGGCCAGGCTGAGGAACATTAAAGGACCAACGCTGGGGAACAGAGGGGGTTTCAGATGTCTCCAAAGCTTTCTTAATTGATTTTTCTGTTACCTCGAAAGGAATTCTTTTATTCTGTCCTGTCTCACTAAATGCGTGCGCCAGAAGGAAAACATCATCCACACCAACGCCGAGAGCAAGAAATGGCAAAACCTGCGGCAAGAACAGAGGGCGGCACATTAGACACGTGAGGTCCTGCTGGATCGCTCTGAAGCTAACAACAATGCTGCCACTGGTAACTGACGGAAACCTAGAGGAGCGCTCGCGCGGACTCCCGGTGAAGCATTTGTTTTACTGGATAGTCTGTATACCCCAAGGCTGGCAGATTCGGCGCACAGTGGACCCCCTGTGCTTCTGAGGTCCATGAATGATCATGGTTTCAAGTCCATAACAGACAATGGACCCAACTCCGCTAAAGCATTGTTCTGAGTATGTCATCCATTTCTCAGCATCTCTATGAACTGGTCAGAAAGGCAAATTCTCAACCCCCCCCCAGCCCAACTCAGAATTAAAAATTCTGGGGGTCCAGCAACCTGAATTTTCAAAGCAAACCTATTAGAATAGAAGTTCCTTTTAAGTGTCTCTAGTGGTCAGCAGCCCATCAACTTTCTGCCCACAGAGCACCCCCCAGAGACACACGGCAGCCTAGGGGAACAGTTGGAAGACCCTTTGGTGAGGTGGATGCACAGGAGATGGGCTGGGCCGAGCCTGGGGAGGGGTGTTCGACAACGGGCAGCAGATGAATGGCTTCTTTAGTACCTGAGTTGTTGCAGCGTTAAAGGAAATCCCGATCAATGAACACAGGCCCAATCCTGCAGCCACTGACAGTGCAACCAACAGGACGCCAGCCAGCCCCACGGCACCCTGGGACTTGGAGCAGTCCCAGCGCAGCATGGTTAAACAGGCATAGGCAAGCTGCAAGCAGAACAATGGGGGGGGGGGGGGGGGGGG